CACTCTTTCTGATTAAGAAACACAGAATGAAAAGTGACTTACTGTGATTTTTATATTTAACAAAGATCTGCAAATCACATTCTTCATTGCTGAGGCACATGTGGAGGTTTTGGTATTCTGAACTCTACACTGATGGCATAGAGATAATGGACTTTTACTATGCTATTTTTTTTATATTAAAATACTGTAAATGCCAGAGCAGATTCAGCTGTGTGAATGGTGGAGTCTTGAGCTGTCTACTCCAGCTGAAGAGCAGGTCTTCATGCATTTAAAGTAAAAAACGCCAAAGACTTTCATAAGTCAGAAACAACATAGAAAAAATATGCTTCTAAAAGGCAGCTTAAACAGTGCAAGTCCCTGTCTCACTGTTGTGCTGGACCTGATGTTTCCAAACAAGGAGGAACTGGCCAGGGATGTGGCCGGGACAGCCTTGGCTGTAGCAACTATGAGATGGTGGAGTTCAGGATCCTGAGAGGAAGGAAAAAAAGCAGAAAGCATGACTGCAACCCCAGACTTCAGAAGAACAACCTTTGACCTGGTCATGGACCTGCTTGGAAGAATCCCATGGGATACAGCCCTGGTGAGAAGAGGTGTCCAGGAGAGCTGGTTCAAGGATCACCACCTCCAAGACCAAGAATGGTCCATCCCAGTGAGCAGAAAATCTAGCAAAGGTGGCAGGAGGCCCATAGAGGTTGTGGAGTCTTCGTCCTTGGATATATTCAAAACCCAAATGAATACAGCCCTGAGAAACTTGCTGTAATAGACTCTGATTTGAGGAGGGGTTTGAACTAGATGATTTCCAGAGGGGCCTTCCACCCTCAGCAATGCTTCCAACCTTAGTGATTCACACTGTAATGTCATCAGTTTTATCTAAAAGGAGGAGGATGTTCTGTTAAGGTCTCATATGAAACACAGTATTGCTTTTCCTTGGCTTCAGAGTTTATTATGTTCCCACTTGTGGTTTAATCCAGCAGGCAGCTAAACACCACACAGCTGTTTGCTCACTCACCCCCCGCTTAGTGGGATGGGGGAGAGAATCAGGGAAAAAAAAAAGTAAAATTCATGGGTTGAGATAAAGACAGTTTAATAGGACAGAAAAGGAAGGCAAAATAGTAATAATGACAAAAGAATATACAAAGCAAGTGATGCATAATGCAATTGCTCACCACCCGCCGACCGATGTCCAACCAGTTCCCGAGTAACAGTCACCACCCACTGGCCAACTCCCCCCAGTTTATGTACTGGGCATGATGTCACATGGTATGGAATATCCCTTTGGCCAGTTTGGGTCAGCTGTCCTGGCTGTGCCCCCTCCCAGCTTCTCGCTGGCAGGGCATGAGAAGCTGAAAAGTCCTTGACTAGGGTAAGCACTACTTAGCAACAACTAAAACATCGGTGTGTTATCAACATTATTCTCAGACTAAATCCAAAACACAGCACTACCAGCTACGAGGAAGAAAATTAACTCTATCCCAGCCGAAACCAGGACACCACTGGAGATGGTTCTGCTGTCACATGCCATCTGCTCCGCTGTAACAAAGCCTCCTCTCCTTGTATCCTGATTTTATTTCTCAGGCAAAACATAATTCTTAATGCCTATGTCTGTTGGCCTTCATTCTGAAACTGATCTCCAGCATTTGTTCTGGTTTCCTCTCAGTGCTTAAATTCTGGTAACAATTGCCCAAAAGTGGAACTTTAATAGCATTTAGTGTCAGATCTTACATAATCTTTTAGGCATGAATGACGTCTTATGTAATTTTTAAGGTAGAAATTAAATTTCATGCTTTTTTCATACATAGTTAATAGTCTTTCATGATTCTGTTTGACTAATACCATGCACCAAATACCAGCTGGAGATTTTTCTCTAGTACAGGAGGACTGATGTTCAACAGATGTGATTTTTTTTATTATTTTAACTGATTTCACTGGTGCCACCTGAGGACTGGGGTAGAAAATATCTCACGAAACTTCCAGTATCTGAAAGTTAAATCATCTTGAGTCTAAAATAATGATTAATCCCTTCTTCTCGTCTGTGGAAAGAAATAGGCAAATCACACTATCCATCTTTGACAGCCATCTTAGGGTATAAAGTACCTGTTGGTTCTTCTCCTCTGTCTGACTAAATAAAAAGAGCCTAAATTACTCGTTTTGATTTATATGACTAACTCTGAGATACTGAAAAATAAAGGAGATTAACCTACCCATGATGTACAAAATTATGAGCAACCTTGATCTAACTTTGAATTTGGCCCTGCTTTCAGCTTAGGCTCCAAAGGCTTGAGATTAGGCTAAATAACCTCCAGATTTCCCTTCCAGCCTAACGTTTTCTATGATGCTATCTGTATTTATGTGTAAAACAACAATTTTTATCCCCATTCCAGTCCCGCAGATGTAATAAATGAGATGAAGCATTGCCATGACTATTTGTTTCTTGGCAACATCACTATAGGCACCCAATATCCAAGCAAGGGGCCTCTTGTAAATAGGTCTGTCCTGGTTTCGACTGGGGTAGAGTTAATTTTCCTTATAGTAGCTGGTACAGTGCTGTGTTTTGGATTTAGTGTGAGAATAATGTGATAACATGCTGATGTTTTAGTTGTTGCTAAGCAGTGCTTATACTAAGTCAAGGACTTTTCAGCTTCCCATGCCCTGCCAGCGAGGAGGTGCACAAGAAGCTGGGAGGGGGCACAGCAGGACAGCTGACCCAAACTGCCCAAAGGGATATTCCATACCATGTGACATCATGCTTAGTACATAAACTGGGGGCAGTTGGCCAGGGGGCAGTGATTGCTGCTCGGGGACTGACTGTTCATTGGTCAGCAGGTGGTGAGCGGTTGCATCACTTGTTTTTCCTGGGTTTTGTTTCTCTCTCTTTTTTTGTTGTTTTAATTTTCATTACATTATTAATAATAATAATAATAATTTTATTTCAATCATTAAACTGTTCTTATCACAACCCACAAGTTTTCTTACTTTTGCCCTTCTGATTCTCTCCCCCATTCCACCGGGGGCGGGGAGGGTGAGCGAGCAGCTGCGTGGTGCTTGGTTGCCGACTGGGGTTAAACCACGACAAGGTCTCAACCTGAGTGTCCAAATCTGTCATTGCAATTACCATTCACGTTGATAATGGGTGTACTGGAGGTGTTCAGTTGGCCCCAGAAGTCCCTTTTGTGCCTGTAGCTCAGTCAATGAACTGCAGATATGGGGAGCCCTGACTTTTCAGTATGGATGTGTTTGATGAGAAATCCTTCCACCCTTAAAACTAGCAGTGGAATTGCATCTTTTCAAACATGAAAGCCTCTTTGAGTCTGATGCCTTCTGCACGTCTTTGGGGCTGGTATCAGTGATGTAGAGATTAAGGAAAAAGTGTCCCCTTTAAGAACCTAAATAGCCCAAAGCCACCATCATTACAAAATCAGAACCTCCTGATACACAAATATGAAATTGTTGCTTGTTTCAATAAAAAACATCTTCTTGGGCAATGATACATCAAAACGCGGCTGAGTCAGCTACTGAAGCAAGGATGTTCAATTACAATAAACCTTGCAACACCGAATTTCTCAGTTAGGCTTCCACCGCTTGCATTGGAAAGATCAGTTTGGCAAAGCGGTATAATATATAGCAGAGACAGTCATCTGTAACTCCCACATACATCATCTATATGATAGCCTGAAGGCTTGTAAAGGAGCGAAACACAGAGAGGAATCTCGTCAAAGGAGAGGGTGAACTGAAAGGAAAAAGAAAAGTGAAGGTGCAGAAAGCTGGATTCAGCTAGCAGTAGAAAACACAGCATTTTCTGAAACATGCAGGACTACAATAGGTACACTGCCATAACTCCACTGACTTCAGGGAGGGCTTGACCTCTCAGATTTGGATCTGAATTTGAAACTGCCAGCATGTAGACTGTTTGGCCCAGTGTCTCGATGGTAGTCATTTATAGATAGGGTACAAGAGAGCTCCAACATCAAGGAGCCTTTAATATAGGAATTCATTTCTGACCCCTCTCTGTTTTGAATCCAATTTGACCACTGCATTTCTGCAATGGAGAGAAAAATATCCCTTCCAAGCAGCTGTCCCAAGCAGAGACTGCTTCTCTTTATGGGATTGATTTTTACTTGTATATCCACATCTACAAATGTCGGTCAGGTCTAAATCTGTCTAGCCTTCCTTTCCTTTCCTTTTGCTTCTTTCTGATATGGTTTCTTAGGTATCAAAAAAAAAAAAAAGAAAAAGAAGGAAAAAAAAAAGCTCTGACTGAGAAAAGCTCCCAATGGGCTATTTAGTTCAAATGTCTTCTCTGATTCTTCTACCGATAAACTGAGACAACACATTCAGATGTTAGTGTGAGCCTTTCTGTTTCCTTTTAAATATACCCTTAACAGACTTTGTTCCTGAAGATGTAGAAGAAAATTGTCCTGCAAGCTCATTTTATCTTTCAGAGAGCTTTCTGGTTCGATTCTCCAGTCCCCCAAATCACATCTTTTGGAAACAGATTACAATTTGTGAGGGTAAGAGGGTGCTTCTGTCTAAGCCACAGAGAAAATGAATATAGTTGATACAAAAAATAAGTCCTGTTTTGTTTAACCAACTGCAGATCCTTTTGGGAAGACAGACGAAAGAGAGCCTCTCACCAATGCAGTCAGGAGCGATTCAGCTGTGATTGGAGGTAACTTCATTTTTAAAGATTACAACTGAAAAATAATTCTGTCAAGGCAAGCATCTAGGGTACTTTAAATCTGGGCCCCATAAAATCCAGTTCAAGTTTTTTGTAGTCTAATGCAGGTCTAGTATTTGCTGTATTTATTAGCACATATCTGTATCAAGCTACCTAGATAGGCACCTGATTTGTGGATGAAGCCAATAGTGGCGGCATGTGATGTTAGATATCACCCAAAAAAAGGCATTATCGTTCATCAAGAACCCGAGTCTTCTAAAATATAACTAAAGTCTGTCTATCTGCCTGCTTGAGCAGGGGAGTTGGACAAGATGACCTCCAGAGGTCCCTTCCAACCTCAACCATTCTCTGATTCCATGTGATTTTGTGATCTAAGACCCGGCTAACTACCACTCTGATGAGAGCCTCAGCACAGTATTCACATATCCTTGAGCTCTTTCTTTGCAAGCTGGTGGGGGTGTGGAACTCGCTAGGTCATATGGAAACATTTATATACTAGGGAAAGTTGTCCTTATAGCTTCATGTATGGTTTTCATTTTCCTTTAACAACCTGGAAGGCAATTTATCTTTGTTTATTTTATAGGATGCCCTGTAGGGAGCTGCCTTTGATAATATCTAGAAGCTATAAACCAAAGAGTACAAGGCTCATATGCAAGGTTTCCAGAGATAATACAGAAGGAAATACAACAGAGCAGGAATTTGTATGAGCATACAGATGTAGTTTTTTAAAAACAAACGCACTGACTCAACTTTATTTCCAGTGAAAGTAGAATTTGACTGAAAATAGAAGGTCAATTACATCAGTGTGTGCTGCTTTAAGTCTTACTTAAGGTGACAAAATAGAAATAAAAACTACTAGGGAGAGTATGATAGAGGCAGATGATTGTGTACAGACTGAAATGAACTGATCTAACATATCCGCTAGCTGTTGTGCATTGGTAATGTATTTTTGAGGTAATTGGGGGTTTTGTTTTGGTTTTTACTCTTTCTATCCTTCCGTTTTTACCCCTCTTCAGGTGTAATAGCAGTTGTGATATTCATCATCTTTTGCATCATTGCCATCATGAGCAGATTCCTTTATCAGCACAAACAAGCACATCGAAGTAGCCAGACAAAGGAGAAGGAATACCCAGAAAACCTCGAGAGCTCCTTTAAAGCTGACATTGACTTGCAGAACACAGTGAGCGAGTGCAAACGGGAATATTTCATCTGATGGACCATGCAATTTCTTCTTACTCTTACTCCCCTAACCTTCCTTCCTTTGTTCCTTTCTTCCTTCCTTTTTGCTTTTTGTAATTTTTTTTTAAACATTCATTTTTTGCTAACTTCTTTTTCATTTGGAAAAGACCGCCCTGCACAGGAAACACTGACAACAATCACAGTGCCTCATGCTCTGCACAAGAACCTGGCAGTCACAGTTTACTGCTGCAGCTCAAGAGACCTGTTATCCCACCCTACACAAAATACGATCCACATGCACACCTGGTTTCTGCTGTGGGTTCCTGGATGTTTCAAAGTCCCTTATTTGTGTTTTTCTTTGGAGCCATTTAATTAATCACTGTTACACTAGAGCTGGTCTATGTAAAGTAGAGGTAAAGTAGCTGAATATGTAGCTCTACAGATACTGGGACAGGATAGAGGGAAAGAATGAGACCAAAACGCCTGATTTATTTTACAGGCTCATTTACAACAATCATAAAGAACTGGCCAAATTCTCAAGTGATATGAATTGATACATATCTATTGATATCAGTGGTGTTACCTTAACTTATACCAGTTAAGAAGCTGGTATGAGGTAAGGAAAAATAAAACTGTCCTCATTAAGCTCCTTCCCCCAACCTCCTGTCCTTTTACTGTAACTTTTAGGCTTACCAGTACTTTTCCAACAATATATGTATCAACAATAAAAGTCATTCCCATGCACCTCTTTCACCTCCATCTCATAAGGCTGGCTATGTAGACCCAACATACTCTAGCATAACTCTAGCTGAAGCATGGAAAATAGTAGCTTGAATCTCCAAAGGTTTTAGGAAGCTGCTAGGACTTAGGTGCTCTATATTTGTCTGAAATGTTAGAAATGCAGCATATACCTGTTCATGCCATATGGAGGATTATCACGCACTGAGGTTAAACACTATTGCCGCTGTGGCAAAGTAAAAGTACATAGACAAGAAAAAACAAAAATAGTTTAATCTTAAACATGAGTCACACCTTCTGCCAGTTCTTCTAAAAAGAAAAAAAATCCAACTACTCAAAAAAAACCCCAAAACTGCATGAAAGATTGATTGGTATTTCCTGTTTGTAGAAATTGGAATATCTTCTCTAAAGCTAAATAGAAAGAGGTCTAATGTCACATCTAAAAAGGTTAATATTTAATCAACCCTGTTTACAAGGAAGAACATTAGGGAAACAAGTTTAAAAAAATCCCAAATACTCTACTTCAAATTAATCTTCTCTCCTGTTTTTCTAAAGTCTTTTGTCCTTTCCTGACTGGGAACAATACCGAAGATTTGAATCCTGCCTATTTTACTTGTGCTGCATGGTTTCAGTGTGAGGCTGAAAAACCTGCTTTTCAGTCACAGACATCCTAAGGGTAAGAAATGGCAAAGTCCCACCAAGGGAGGTTTTTCACACCCTGCTTGTGTCTGTGTGACATACTGCCTTCACAGGGCTTCTGAAGAGTGTGTAGAATTTGCTGTCAGACTTGAAGGTTTTTGACAGGAGTTGAATCAACCCAACAGCTAAGAAAAAAATAATATTTATTGCAGTACTCTTGATAAGAATTAATTCAAGACAATTAATTGTGCAGCTGAATCTCTTTCTTTGACCCCTACACCCTTCTGCAGTCATCCTGGGGTTTACGCATGGTGATTCTTTTTACATAGATTAAAATCAATGAATCACAGTATGAGGTAATAACCCACAGCAAACTAGAGATGAGGTTACACATGCAACAGGTGCTATTTTTCCAGGCAGAGCATTGCGAAGGTATGTAGCTGGTTATTTTTTTGATGGGAGGAGGGGACAGACAAGGAAGAATAAATAAATGACAGTTTGGATATGGTGATTCTTCACCACTTCTTTTGGAAGACTTTATGGGAAGTAGCGTCCGGTGAAGACAAAGCAATCTTGGAATGATATCCCTGTCACGTGAAGAGGAATATGTGAGGCCAGCCCCATAACCAGAACTCTAACCGAGCAATTTTGTAAAGCCATTCATATTGAAATTAGTATTGGTGACATTCTTCCTCGACCGTGGTCAACAACAGCCCTTTGGCCTCATGCTGGCTGTTTGCATGATACATGATTACCTGAGAGTGTTTCTGCGTGATGAGATGTGTAATGACTCATTAGCTGTGTTCCCTTTACGTTGCTTTATCTTTTGCGGTGAAATCCTGGCAAAGCAATTTCTCTTTTCTCTCCCCTCCCCCTCCCCCTCCCTTCCTTTCCCTCCCCTCCCCTTCCCTTCCGCCAGATAAAGCTTTGTTTGGCATGGCAGGAGGGGAGGAATAAGCAAGCGCATGGGCTTCTCTGCCCATGTTTGAGTCATCTTATCTGAAATGGCCTCTGTGTGAGACATCTCTGAAGTCCTAATGTACTTAATTGGCTTTATGAAGAATGGAATAGGAAGGAGGGGAAAGCCCACCGGTGTGTCTTTTTCTCTAACCAAAGTAACAGATACACATCATCCTCTGCTTTCCTACATGTTAGTTTCCAGGAACAAAATTACTACGAAGTGCAACAATGAAGTGCAAAGCAGCTGCAGCAGTGGAGTAGCTGGAAAAGGGAGACTGAGCAATGAAGCAGAGTCCTCTCATTTCTCAAGTGACTAAATTACTTTCAGCCATCTCAGGGCCCGATTCTGCAAGATGCTGAGCTTTCTCAAGGAGGATCAAGTTCTCATCACCAAATGTTGATATTAGTGTTGCTGCAAACATTTCAGATACAGCTCAGTGGCTTAGTCCTGGGCCAGAGAGCAGGTGTAAGTGGAATGCTGTGCACAAGCCCAGACCTGGCAGAACACTGTAAGTGGTTTGTTTGTCCATTTTTTCTTATCCTAATTTAATGTAGCCCAGGCTGGTAAAACTCCTTGAAAATTTAGCTACATTGGTGTGCATCTGTAAAAAGAAAGAACTGCACATACATAAATGCATGCATGAGTATACAGAAACATGTGCATCTATACCTATGGATGTAATGAGATGTGAATATTTATATGCTACATGGCTGGACAAATGAACACATTTGTATGGACTTGACATTTAAAATCCTATCTTCTAAATCAGGATGCCAACAGTCTTATTAAAAGGTAGCTGAAAGATACTATATGAAGTACCCTAATACTAACTCTTTTTTTTTTCTTTGTTCTTTTTTTTTTTTGTTATAATGCTTTCTTTAGTGAGGACATCATCTGATTTACTTCAGTACACTTAAAAGAAATTAAAAATGATTTCTTAAAAAAGAGGAGAAATGCAATTTTGCAAAAATCTACCAGCATTAAAATTGCTTTCATTTCTCACAGTTCAAATTAGACCTTTTTTCCCATCTATTACAAACCATTTCTGCAATTTTTGTTAAAATTGCTCTTTAAATGGGGGAGGGGGGGGTGTCTTTCCTTTTTTCTTTTAGCTATCATTCTAGATAACATTTTTCAGTAAATGTGAGGGATAATACTTTTTATACATAAAATGTCAAGATTTATTTTAATGGAAAACCTGAGAGTATGAAAGAATTGTTTGGAGGTATTGGTTGGTTGGCTGGGTTTTCTTCCTTCTCCCAAGACAAGTTTCATAACAAAAGTAAGGGGCTGGTAGAAGGATACCAAGTCTCTTTTTTTCTCCTGGTGATATGGTATGTAACCTCCAAAAATTATTATTGCTAGGCAGGGATTTTTAGGCTATGAGATTTCTAAGTCACTTAGATATGGATTTAGGCACTGCAAATTCCTGTTTTCCAGAAATGACTTGGCCAATAACAGCCATGCTTATAAAGAGATTTAGTCATGCAAAGTCTGAGTTGGATGCCTAGAAGGACTGTCTGAGAACCCTGGTGTCTGGCTATAAAAAACAAATGAAGGCTGTCTGTCAGAAGACTAAATCCCACTAACTTTCAGTGAGACATAGGCTGCCACCTGAGTGAAGTGTGGGCTTTCAAAAGAATGTAGTCTCCTGAGGATGTGGATCAATGCTTAAGTGACTAAACAAGATGAGCGCTTGACTTTAATTTCAGTTGGATTTCTGCTTCTGCCTTGCTGTGAAATGTTTTAAAATACTACAAGACATTTAAATACCTTTGAAAATTGAGTCCCATTTCTCTTTTGGAAATAAAATGTTGGTCCTAAGTAAGTCACCTGTGTAATTTGCAGTAAGTATTTCATCTGTCCTTATTCACTTACTAGAGACGAGACAGTGTGAGTGTTTTGAGTAAACTTTTAACATATACACTTTTTTTTCTTTTTCTTGTTCTTGTCATGTCACAGCACTTAGGGTATGTCTGCAGTGAAAACAAAGCCAAACAGATGACAGGTTTTTAACTTACATTGGCTAAACCAGGGTTCTCATCTGGGTGAATGTAGCTGTGAAAACAAGCCATTTAGGTCTGTACTGTTATCAGATTGTGTTCAGCCATGAGATTCCCCTGACATTTAAGTTAAAACTGATGGGCAAAATTCAAACATGAGATGCTTTCTCTCTGCTTTATTTTAATCTGATCGAGCCAGAATTAACCCATCCTATTTAGCAATTGCTCAATTTTTACAGTGTAAACCAAACCCTTATTTTAATGAGATGTTTGTCTATATTGGCCATTTGCTGATCATATATTTCACATATTGGGTGAGGAGCAATCGATACATCATATAGTTTGACTATGGTGAGGAGATATGAATCTTCTTCTAATGAAGTCAGCTATCGATTTTGCTGAGCATAAGATTGAGTCCTTGACCTATGGAAGCACTTGAAGATTGCTTTTATCTGAGTCTTTTGGGTTTGTTTCATCGTGCATTTGGTTTTACAGGCTACCTGTTTTACACTTGTCATCCAGTCCTGTCCTGTGGTCAGTGAGGACAGGGCAAATGTCTCAGACATCCTTTAAGATTAAATGAATCATTCTCTAGAGGTGCATTTTTCTCACCAGTGATTATAGAGACAGGGTAGGCTCCTGGCAATAGGTTAGCTACTTCTAGCAGAATTTGCCTACATATAGGAATCTTAC